GGGGCATTATTCTGCCTTGGATCCGTGCATGGAATTCCAGCTGCTGCCAGAGGAAGCTGTGTGTGCCCACCCAGGGCTGTGAATGAGCCCAGGAAAGGCCAAGGAGATGCTCATATATAAGTGGAGTGTGGAGGGTTTTTTTGACACTGGCTATAATAAATATCAGCACATTTAGAAAAAAATAATTGTGGGCTTAAAGGGAGGGAAAAAGCTATGGCTGAGTGTGGTTCACTAGAAGGAAATACCCCAGGCTGTTGAAACATTAGATAAAAAACTGATCTTGAAATGTCAGGAATCAGTGAGGATAACAACTGTCAATTTTTTCCAATAAAAGCTCCCTTTTATTTTGCCTACTTTTCTCTTTTATTTTTTAATAGCTATCCATTAAAAATGCTGTACTCACAATTTGCTGGTATTTGCTGCTCTGTTTTAATGCTGTCTATTAGTTCTTCCCTCCTTTCCTTTTAATATCTACACATATCATCAAATGCTGGGCAAAATTTCTCTGATAAAAAAAAAAAATCCCATGAGTGGAAAAAAAAAATCCCAAGCAATTACAAATAACTTGCTACTGAGGGCATGGCTGGGCTTTCTGTGCTCCAGTGTCCCATTGAGTTTCAAGTAGCTGAGGACACTTTTATATTAGAAATAATCCATGTTAATTTCATGTGGTGCATTGTTATTTCTCAACTTCATCAGAAAATAGCACAACTGTCCTAAAAAAATAAAAAAAAATCAAGTTATGCCTTAATAAATAACTGATAATGAGGGTGCTGAGAAAAAATTGTGGCCAGGAAGATCAGTTTGACATGAGCTACTCCAGCCTGAAGGATTCCAGCTGGAAAAGCCCAGTTTAAAATTCTGACACTTCCTCCATTTCATGTGCACTCAGCAATGCTCATGCAGCTCAGATAATCCGTGCCTGTACTTCATGTATGGCGTGGCAAATGCCAGCAGTGTGTGGAAAACAGGATCCAGGCTGCAGCAGAGCAGCCAGAACGGGATGAAGGGAGCTCAGCAGCACCTGAGCCTTGGGCTGAGCTCTCCCAGGGCAAACAGGAGCCTCCAGCAGCCAGAGGAACTCTGCAGGGGCTTGAGGGGGACAGGAAAACCCCAAGCAACCAATTTGGGGACCCCTTGGAGCGAGGCTGAGCTGTTGGTACAACAGCAAGAGAGGTCGTGGTCCCTACAACACCCCTGGGACAATGTGACAGGGATTTAACAGAAATAGTCTCCTCCAGAACAGGGCTAGAGGTAAATTCCAGCTGATGACTCTGTTTCTCTGTCTGTGTTTGATAAATTAATTAAGGAACAGAGAGGGAATAAGAAAAGTGAAGCCTCATAAGCTGCTTCACTAACTGCTGCACAGAGAAGACTCTCAATTCTCATTTTCCTCTATCAAAAACACTAACATTTCTTCTTCTTCAATAATTTCTAATATAAAATCCCAAGAATATTTGAAAAGCTCTCTAAAAATAAAACAGGGAAGGGAAACCTCACTATTGAATATGAAGAAACTATAGAAATCTCATGGGGACAAGGAGAGGGGTCATTGGAGCAGGGAAGGAGGTTAAGCTGAGCTTTGAGCCCAGTCTAATGGCATGAGCCTCTTGCCGCCTGTGCAGCTGGGAGTGTCTCTGCCCAGGGCCACTCTCAGTGTGCTGCAGAGCTCAGCTCTGTGTTCTGCACAGCCCAGCGCCCTGGCCTGCCCTAAATCCCAGGGTTCCAATGTTCCACTGAGGAGCATGGCAGGGAGAGCCATGGGATGTTCCTTCTGAGCCCTCGTGGAGCACCAGGCTGGCATCTCTGCCACCCAGGAGATCCCAGCAGGCATCAATGATCCCACCAGGGATATCAGCACACCCTGCTGGGCTTCCCACAGCTTCTCCTGGCAGCTGGAGGCCATCCCTGCGTGCCCAGCAGGGCTTTGGGGCAGAGATGCAGCTGGAGCTGCATCCAAACCCTCCCCACACTCAGACCCAGCACCCCCAAACTGCTCCTGGCCTTACCCAGCCCAGCCAGCTGGGAAGCAGCTCCCACTTGCAATAATTACAGCAGAGCTGCCCTCCCCTTGCACTATTTATTGCTTTTGCCCTTGCCGTGGATTGCTGGAGACAGAGACGCTATTAAAGCTCAGAATATTTCTTTCTGGACAGTGAGGGCGAGCTTTGGGGGGAAACTCCCTATTTTCTCTCCAGCACTGCCCCTTCTGCTGGTTAGGGCAGGGCAGGGCAGGGGATGGTTCCCACTGCAGGCTGCCTGGAGCACTCCGTGCCTGCTGAGCAGTGACTGCAGCAGGGGAACGCTCTCCTCTGGTGGAACAGAACCTTGTAAGGATATTTCTGCAAGGTACAACAATTGCCCAAGCATCACCTCTGAGTTGGGTCTCCTCCCTTATTCCCACAATAAGAAGGGAAAGGCGCATTTCAGCGATGACAGCTGAGGCTGGCAAGAGGCAGCCGAAGGGCACCTGCCAGCTCCCACCCTGCTGACAGCATCCCCACAGCTCCAGGATGGGCTCTGGCAAGGAGATAGCAGGCTTGCCAATAATAATAATTATCATTAATAAGCGAGTGACGTCCTAATCTTGGTTACATCAGCCGTGCCCTTCCCCGGAGCCGCTGCCAGTCACACTCACACCGAGCACAGACAAGGGCCGGGAGCTGCTGGGGCCGGAAGGGGATACAGGGGATGGCCCGCGGTGACTTCTGCCTCCCGGCTGAGGGGACAGGGGACACGGCCCGGACAAACCCGGCAGAGCCGCCTCTCTGTGGCATTTGAGTCTCCTCAGCCCTCCGGGGAACTGCGGGGCATAAAGGATGGGATGGGAAGGGAGGTGCGGGGCTGTCCCCTCCTCCTCCTCCCCCGGGCATCCCGCGGGGCTGTCCCGTGTCACAGGCGGGCACAGGGCTGTCCGTGTGTCCTGCGGGATGTCCGTCCATCCCCGCTCCGCATTCAGAGCCCTCCCTGCCCTGTGCCAGCCCCTCCGCACAGCCCGACGGCAGCAGCCCTGGCGAGGAAAACGAGCGAAATTCGGGGGCGTTTGGCAAAGTTGCGAGGTCAGGGCTCCCCCCGCGCCCCCGACCCTGCATCCATGGATTAAGGGGGTCTGCCCCCACACCCAGCTCGGTCTGCTGCCTCCTTAGGTGCCTTTCCTGAGTTGCTGCCGAGCCCGCCAAGGTGCGAGCTTGTTGCGAGCACAAACTGTTGTGATTCCCCCTCCGGCCCTTTTTCCCCGCCTCCCCCCGGTTCCGAACGGGGGGTGTCGGTGCACGGAGCCCGCCGTACCCCATGTCGCTCCCGCGTCAGAAAATGAATGATGCAGCAATTTAATTAGGAGGGAGCGGTGCGTCCATATTGCACCGGCGGAGGAGAGCTCGGCAGCCGGGGGAAGATGCTGCTGCGCGTCCGCGGGCGCGGAGGCTGCGCCCCTGCCCGCGCAGAGCGGCCCCGGGGCGGCGGGAGCCCGCGGAGCCCCCGGCACCTCCCGCCCGCTCCCGCGGCTCTGCCCCCGAACTTTTCGCTGCCGACCCGCGGTTCCAGTTAAGTCTCTCCCGGCCGAGCCACCGCGGGGTGCGGGAGGGGGGTGCGGGATGCCCGGGAGTTACGCGGGGCGGTGCGCGGGTGCGGACGGCGGGGATGCGCGGAGCAGCGCGGGGCTCGCCGCCTGCCCTGCCCGCAGCAATTCCCTCCCGGCTGGCCGAGCCCCGGGGCAGGCAGAGCCCGCAGCCCCCCGCGCATCTCCCGCACCAACTTTGGCCCCCCTGCGCGGATCCGCCGCGCCCCGCGCAGCCCCGTTACCTGCGGCGGCTCCCGGGGCGGGCGGGCACCGCGGGCGCGGCCCCTCCGCCTCCGCGCACACGGCGGGAGGGTGCGGGAGGTGCGCGGTGTCTCCCGAGGCGTTGGGCGCTGCGGGATCCCGGCGAGGCTCGGGCGGGAGCGGCCCCGGGACGGGCGGGCAGCGCCGGGCGGAGCAGGCGGAGATGCGGGGGCAGCGGGGCGGCCGGAGCGGGACCCCCGCCGCAGCCCTCGGCTGGCACTCGCAGTCAGAGCAGCTTTGATTTCCTCCAGACTTGGGCTTTTTGTTCCCTTTTTTCCCCTCTTTTTTTTTTTTTTTTTTTTTTTTTTGGAAAGGGGGGTGGGTGCAAATTCTGCCCCATCCCGGCGGCTTTTTTTCCCTCTCTGATTCTTCTCAGGTTTTTACCTCCCCCATCTGCCCGTTTCCCACTTCTCTTCCTCTCCGCCAACCAGCCCCCTCCTTCCCTCTTAAAAAAAAAAAAAAAAAAGGGATAAAAAAAAATAAAAAAAGGATAGAGGGGAAAAAAAAAAGGCAAGGGAAAAAAAAACTGTGTAGTCAGGGCTTCCCAAATGCGCGCCCCCGACCTGGAGCCGAGCGCGCCCCCTCCGTTTGTTCCCCTTCTTGAAGCTGATTTTCATGACGTGGAGGAGCCTGATCCAGGGCAGGAGCGGCAGCGCACACACACACACACACACACACACACACGCGCGCACACACACACACGCACACACTCGCACACGCACACGGCCCGCAGCGCCCCGCACCCGCGCACAGCCGCGCACCCGCGCTCGCCGCCGCGCCCGCTCCGCGCTGCCGCTGCCGCTGCCCGGAGAAGGCGGCGGCGGCGCTGGAGCCTGCAGCAGCGGCAGCAGCAGCAGCCCCTCTGCTCCCTCCTCCATTGAGTGTGCCAAACAGCAGCTCTGCATCCTAAAAAGGATCATTGAGGGGCTCATTGCATTCCCAGCACGTTTCAGGCTTGCTTCTTTTTTTTTTTTTTTTTTTTTCCTCTCTCCTTTTTTTTTTTTTCTCTTTTTTTTTTTTTCCCTTTTGCCTCAGCTTCAGCAGGAGTAGAGAGAGAGGGAGAGAGAGCCACAGAGAGGGAGAGGCAGAGACAAACCAGCAATCTTTAAACTCGAGCTTTCTTTTTTTTCCCCCTTCCTTTCTTTTGCCTTTTTTTTTTTTTTTTTTTTTGGTAACGATGTGCTAAAATCTCTCCTGCAAACCGGTAAGTACAACCTTTCTGGATCCTTTTGTTTCCGCCTAGGGTCAAAGACACCCCCCTCCTCCAAAAAGAAGATATAATAATCCTCTTTATTTATTTTTTTATTTTTATTACAGCCCTTGCAGAAGAGAAAGAACTTAAGTGGCTAATATTTTGCAAAGGAGACGGAGAGATTGATACTGCAATATAGCTCTCGTCTCTCTCCCTTCTCCCCAATTAGATGCTGGTTTTAATTGCAGAGGGTATTTCTCTTTTCGTGCTTTCAACCATCTCCTCTTTCCCACAGGGGAGGGTTTCATTTGCAAGTTGATCCTAAGGATTTCTGTTCCTCTGGCATTTCCCTCCCCTAAATGCATCTTTCTGCTCTTAAGTTTACGGATGGGGGGCAATTTTTTCTAGTTCTTACACGAGGAAGGCAAAAAGGACCTTTTTATTGGGAGATTGAGACTAAAAGCAATGATCGCTCCGAATCATTCTAATGGGCATTTCAGGGACTCAAGGAAGGCTGCATCACCACTGGTATTATCCCCATCCTTAGCGTTTCCCTGTGCCCATACATTTAAAATATCTGGTGAAAGGAAGGGTGAGACCATATGTTGAAGGAGCTGCATCTCATTAGGGCGGTATTATTTTCATCTGATTGGAGAAGAATGGTGTCTTCATTCGGAATCGTGTATAGTAGGATAGAGAATTTATCGGCTGGTAAGTGTCAAGGTATTTTTTTTTTTCTTCCACTTTCAGCTTTTTTAACCGGGTCTCCTGCTTGGTCCTGGGGGCACAAAATGCCCTAATCCAAGGCAGGCTGAGCGTTTCAATCCTAGGTGCCTCTTCAGCTGTCACTTCCCTTTAGATCTGCTGATCGCATGGGCATGTGCTTTAGAAAGATTAATCATCTCTAAATGCTTTAATCAGCTAAAATGACTAATATGTGGTGTGTATTTATCTGATAATATACCGGTTGCATTAATTCACCGGGGCGCGTTTGCGAGGGGAAGGTTTCCCTCCCCATCAGGGTCGTTAACCATTTACTCCGGTGGAGATGCTGTGGGGGTTTCTGAGGGGAGCCGTTCTGCCAGGGACAGCTCGCACATCCCCTGGAACTCGCGCGTGGAACGCATCGAGCCGGGAGGCAGGGAGGGAAGGAGATCTGAGGGTGGAGGTCCAATAACTTTGGGAGTTTGCATGGATGAAGGATGTGGTGCGACACTGGAGAGATGTGCCCACACTTGGCGTGTTTCCCCCCCTGGGCTGTGATGGCTCCCGGGCTAAAATTCCACCCGGGGATGAGATGCGGGCAGTCCCCAAGCCTGGCAAACGTGGAGAGACGCAACACGTTCGGTGTGCTCGTGGTGCCGTGCGGGGCTGCATGTGCTGTCCTCTTTATAGGTGGCATTTACCACGGGGAGGGGAGCCAGGCAGGCTGCTATCGCGTGATGGAGCCCTCTAACATCTCCCAAGTATAAATCAGGGCAAGGCTCGCCCAGCCGACACCCCTGGAGTTGGTTTGGAACGTCTGCCCAACAATTGCTGAACTTTCCAGGAGCCCGACATGAGTCCAGCAGGTAGGGGCTTAGGGAAAGGAGAAGGGCAGGGCAGAAATACTGAAATCTGTGTTTCTCTTCCCGTTGCAGTTTTGTAAACACCAACAAATGATGAAACCTTCCACGGCAGAGAGGCTTCATAAAGGAAGGATGTTGTGGATAATTCTTCTAAGCACAATTGCTCTAGCATGGACTACACCTATTCCCTTGATAGAGGACTCGGAGGAACTGGATGAGCCCTGCTTTGATCCATGTTACTGTGAAGTGAAGGAGAGCCTTTTCCATATACATTGTGACAACAAGGGATTTATAAATATTAGTCAGATAACAGAGTCGTGGTCGAGACCTTTTAAACTTTATCTGCAGAGGAATTCCATGAGGAAATTGTACACCAACAGTTTTCTTCACTTGAACAATGCTGTATCTATTAACCTTGGGAACAATGCGCTGCAGGACATTCAGACGGGGGCTTTTAACGGGCTCCGAGTTCTGAAGAGGTTGTATTTGCATGAAAACAAATTGGACATTTTCAGGAACGACACTTTCCTGGGTTTGGAAAGTCTGGAATATCTGCAGGCAGATTACAATGTCATTAAACGGATTGAAAGCGGGGCATTTCGAAACCTAAGTAAATTGAGGGTCCTTATCCTAAATGACAATCTTATCCCCATGCTTCCCACCAATTTATTTAAGTCTGTGTCCTTAACCCACTTGGACTTGCGGGGGAACCGCCTCAAAGTCCTTTCGTACCGCGGGATGTTGGACCACATTGGCAGGAGCCTGATGGAGATCCAGCTGGAGGAGAACCCGTGGAACTGTACGTGCGAGATCGTGCAGCTCAAGAGCTGGCTGGAGCGCATCCCCTACACCGCTCTGGTGGGGGACATCACCTGCGAGACGCCCTTCCACTTCCACGGGAAGGACCTGCGGGAGATCAAGAGGAGCAAGCTCTGCCCCATGCTGTCCGACTCGGAGGTGGAAGCCAGCCTGGGCATCCCTCAGCTGTCCTCCAGCAAGGAGAACGCGTGGCCTACCAAGCCTTCCTCCATGCTGTCCTCCTTCCATTTCACCGCTTCCTCTGTTGAGTACAAAACGTCCAACAAGCAGCCCAAGCCCACCAAGCAGCCCCGGGCGCCCCGGCCTCCCCCGACCCCTCGTGGCCTGTACCCCGGGCCCAACCAGCCTCCCGTGGCTGCCTACCAGACCCGGCCCCCCATCCCCATCATCTGCCCCACCGGGTGCTCTTGCAGTTTGCACATCAACGACCTGGGCCTGACGGTCAACTGCAAGGAGCGCGGATTCCACAACATCTCCGAGCTCCTGCCCAGGCCCTTGAACGCCAAGAAGCTGTACCTGAGCGGGAATTTGATCCAGAAAATCTACCGCTCCGATTTCTGGAATTTTTCCTCCTTGGATCTCTTACACCTGGGGAACAACCGGATCTCCTACGTGCAGGACGGGGCGTTCATCAACCTGCCGAACCTCAAGAGCCTGTACCTGAACGGGAACGACATCGAGCGGCTCACCCCGGGCATGTTCCGGGGCCTGCAGAGTTTGCATTACCTGTACTTCGAGTACAACCTGATCAGGGAAATCCAGCCGGCGGCCTTCAGCCTCATGCCCAACCTGAAGCTCCTCTTCCTCAACGACAACCTGCTCCGCACGCTGCCCACCGACGCCTTCGCCGGCACCTCCCTGGCGCGCCTCAACCTGCGCAACAACCACTTCTTGGCGCTGCCGGTGGCCGGGGTGCTGGAGCACCTGCACGCCATCGTGCAGATCGACCTGAAGCTCAACCCCTGGGACTGCACCTGCGACCTGGTGCCGCTCAAGCAGTGGCTGGAGGCGCTCAGCTCCGTCAGCGTGGTGGGCGAGGTGCTGTGCGCCAGCCCCGAGCCGCTGGCCCGCCGCGACCTGCGCTCGCTGGAGCTGGCCGCGCTGTGTCCCGCCGCCCTGCGCCCCGCCGCCGCCGCCTCGCCGCCCGCCGCCGCCCCGCCGCCGCCCGCCGCCACCGGCGCGGCCGCCTACGAGCTGCCCCCGGCCGCCGCGGCCGCGGCCGTGCCGCTCTCCGTGCTCATCCTCAGCCTCCTCGTCCTCTTCTTCTCCGCCGTGCTGGTGGCCGCCGGGCTCTTTGCCTTCGTGCTGCGCCGCCGCCGGCGGAAGCTGCCGTTCCGCGGCCCGCGGGCGGAGGCGGCGGACCTGGGCGCGGTGCCGCTGCGCTGCCCGCGCCTCTTCCCCGAGGGCGGCGGCGGCGGCGGCGGGGGCGGCGGCGGCGGGGGGGGCCCCGGGGAGCGCTCCCCGGAGAAGGCGCCCCCGGCGGGCCACGTCTACGACTACATCCCGCACCCGGTGACCCAGATGTGCAACAACCCCATCTACAAGCCGCGCGAGGAGGAAGAGGCGGCGGGCGGCGGCGGCGGCGAGGCGGCCGAGCTGCTGCGGGGCGGCGGCGAGCGCGGCTTCGCCCACCCCGCCGCCCCCGCCGCCGCGCCCGAGCCGGGCAGCAGCTACCGCACCTTGCTGGAGAAGGAGCAGGAGTGGAGCCTGGCCGTGTCCAGCTCGCAGCTCAACACCATCGTGGCCGTGCACCCCCAGCACCCCGCGGGCGGAGGGCTGGCGGCGGGCGCGCTCGGGGCGGCGGCGGCGGCGGCGGCGGCGGGAGCCCCGCGGGACCGCGACCGCCCGCCGCCCTGCGCCGTGGGCTTCGTGGACTGCCTCTACGGCACCGTGCCCAAGCTGAAGGAACTGCACGTCCACCCCCCCGGCATGCAATACCCGGACCTGCAGCAGGACGCCCGGCTGAAGGAGACCCTGCTCTTCGCGGCCGGCAAGGGCTTCCCGGACCACCAAACACCCACAAGCGAATACCTCGAGTTAAGGGCCAAACTCCAAACCAAGCCGGATTACCTCGAAGTCCTGGAGAAGACCACGTACCGGTTCTGACCGCCGCCCCGCCGCCCGCCCGGCCCCGCCGCCCGCGAGCAGAGGATCCAGCTGTGCGCTCTGCCCCGCCAGATGTGCGCGCTGCGGGGCAGGGCCCTTCTCAGATCAGTAATCGACGAAGTGCCTTCGCAGACTTTTGCCAGCAGATGTTAATCAATCATTATTTTTTTATACTGAAACTGAGACTTTGACTGTGCCATGTCTAAAGGTATATTATTATTATTATATTATTATTATTATTATTATCGGGGATCTTTGTATTGATCCTGATTGAGTAAATTCTATGTGTGTCTCTTTCTCTCTTTTTTCTTTTCCCTTTTCTTTTATTTTCTTTATTCTTGTTGTTTGTTCTGTTCGTTGGCTCTTTTTTTTTCCTTTTTTTTTTCCTTTTTCCGTTGGCAGTAAACTTCCTTGATATTTTCCCTTGGAGGGGAGGGGGAGGGAAGATGGCATTTTCTGGCCTGCTTTCTTCTTGCCCATCATGGCACAGATTCTGTACATTTATTTAAAAGAGAGAAAAAAAAATAATAATGCAAAGAAGCAAACGAGCGCAGTTTGCTGCATGCCTGGAAACTGCAAGAGGGAAGGGAGGGGAGGGTCTTGCTCGAATGTCTCACTCTTGTCTCTCTCCCTCCCTCGCACGCACACTCCTCAGTCTCACCCTCACCCTCACCCTCGCCAGCCCAGCCCCTCCAGGGGGGCTCGGGGGGAACCCCGGGAGCAGTCCCGGGGGCTGGGGGAAGCCACCCGGAGCCGAGCAGCCCAAAGGATGTCACCACGTGGCGCACACACCTAGGGGATGCTCAGCGACGCTTCATCATGACGCCATGGTTTTGTTTTTGTTGTTTTGTTTTTTTTTTTTTTTTGGAGGACATCTGCACTTTCCTAATAAAAGCGACATGCAAATATACAGAGAAAAAAAAAAAAAAAAAGGAAAAATAAACCCCAAAAGCTAATGGGCACCTCTCACTAACAGCTTTGTAGGAAGCACTTTTAATGTTTTCTCTCATGCACCCATACACGCACACACGCACACACACACAAAGGTACAACAATGTGCATATATTTATTCTGTAATTTCAAGTGAATATAAATTGTAAAGGTAATGTTAAATCATTGTACAGTGATGCGTCTGGTATAGCTTTCCTAATAAAACGTTTTGAAAAAAATTGCAGATATATATATATATATATATATATACACCCCCAAATATATATATATATATAGGAATACAAAGCTTGAACCTGAAACTTCAGCTTCCTCCACAGAGATTTCCTTCCCCCCATAACCTTGAACGCTATTTTATTAATAACATTTCGATGCACTGTGATGTTAACCGAGAAAAAAAAAAAAACCCTGTACAGCGTCTCTTGCCAAGATACCACCCGAGACTGTCACAAATCCGATTTGCGATCTGTATCCCTGTCGCACTGTCCTGACAGTTAAAAATATCGGGGAAATTGGGGAGCGCATCCCGCCGGAGCGCTGCTTCCCGGCCTGCTGGAGGCACCGGGAGGCATCGCGGGGATGCTGCCGGTGCTGGCAGCGGGGTGAGCACTCAGAGAGCTCCCACCCCTTCGGATGAAACCGCAGCTCCACTTTGGAATGGGGGGATGCGATCTGGGAAAGCAAAGCATCCATCCCAGCGCTGCCCTTCTCCCGCTGCAACCGGAGGGAGACCAAAGACCGTGCGATTTCCCTGCCCGGGCGGGTCCCGGTTGGTATCTTGTCCGCGTTGGTGTCTTGTCGCCGGCGGTGTCCCTGTGTCCGGCCGTGTCCCTCTGTCCGGCCGTGTCCCTGTGTCCGGCGCTGTCCCCGCGGTCCCGGGCCGGGCGCGGCCCCTCGCGGCCGCCAGGTGGCGCCCCAGCCCCAGCGCTGAGGGGCGGCGGCGGGGCCGGAGGGCCCGGGCTCGATCCGGGATTGATCCCGGGATTGATCCCAGGATTGATCCCGGTCTCGATCCTGGACTCGATCCTGGATTCCATCCCAGCCTGGAGCAGCTCCAGAGGCCGCTCCCTGTCCCCGTCCTCCCCGCCGAATGAACCCGCGGGCGCCTTGTCCCGAGGCGGGCAGGGCCGCCATGGGCAGCCCCACAGCCGGGCACTGCCCTGAGGCCTTCAGAGAGTGGGGTCAGCCCAGAAATACCCAATGTGTCCAGAGAGCGGGGTTAATCCAGAAATATCCAATTGTGTTCAGAGAGTGACGTTAACCCAGAAATACTCAGTGTGTCCAGAGAGTGGGATTAATCCAGAAATATCCAATTGTGTTCAGAGAGTGGGGTTTTTCCAGAAATACCCAATGTGTCCAAAGAGCAGGGTTAATCCAGAAATACCCATTGTGTCCAGAGAGTGGGGTTAATCCAGAAATATCTAATTGTGTCCAGAGAGTGGGGTTAATCCAGAAATACCCAATGTGTCCAGAGAGTGGGGTTTTTCCAGAAATACCCAATGTGTTCAGAGAGTGGGGTTAATCCAGAAATACCCAATGGGTCCATCAGCACCATGTGTCTGGACAGCGGTCAGGGTGGTTTCTCCAGGTGAATCGAGGTTATTCCCCAAAGGTGCTGCTGGGAGTGGGTTCTGTCACCTCCTGGCAGAGGGTCACAGTGCCAAGGTCACCGTCCCCACCACCTGCTCTTTCCTTGGGGAGCAGCTCGGTTTCACCCCACACAATGTGTTTTAACAGAGATAAACGCATAAATACTTGTTGTCCCCCCACAATGTCGCTATTTACAGCTCTGGGCAGGATGCTCATGGTGAGCTTTACTCTTGGAGAGTCATTTCCCCAGCCTTGGTAGCAGCTGTGTGTGTCTGGAGATGGAGGGACAGCTCCAAACCTCTGTAAAGCTGGCATCACCCTCCATGCCATCAGTAAAAATATTACACATTGCAATTTCCTCTCTTGAGTTGAGATTGTGTTTCCTCACTTCAGCTCTGACCCATTGGGGTTTGCTCATTTGTTTGTTTTGCTGAGTTCTTAATAGATAGTGGAAGAGCATGCACGTGCTAAGAGTATTAAACATGCAAGTGCAAAGGCCAGATCCTTCTTATCATAATTGTAATAATTACATTGATAAGCCTACATGCAAGTGATGCGTGGAGCTGTATAAATCAGGTTAAAGTACAATCCCCAGTGAGAGTGGTGCTGTATACATTTGGCAATGTCCTCAAAGCCCCAAGTGTTCATACTTGTATCCAAATAGAGTAAAGCCGGTTGCAAATAATGTTTATATTTTCATTAAACTGCAGAAAGGCAAGAGAATTTCATCCTTACTATAGGCAGTAATCTCGCCCGTGGACGGTGAGCAGATCTATTTATTCAGTGGAAATAAATTTGTTCTATGAGAATGGAATTTTGTATTAAAAGAGATAATTTTTGGCTTACGTTGAGTTATTTTTCTTTCCTTGCGTAGGAAACTTCCTTTCCCTTGTGTACTGAGATGATTTGGGGATGATTTGCTCTGGAAGTGTTGACAGTGTCTAAGTGTGATGTCTAAAGGGTGTTTTGATGACTTTTATTTTGCTTTTTCATTATGTTGAGCTGAGGCTGAGTGGGTAGCAGCATTCCTTTCCCAGGGCAGGAAAAAAAAGTGGATCCATCATCTCTGACCTGCAGTGGGTGACACTTTGCATGCTCCAACCCAGGTTCCTCCTAATTAATAGGGAGTATTAATGATAATTCTGTCTTTATCAGCAGTAGCATTGGTAGCATTAATGCTACTGGGAAGGAATCAAATAAAATCAAATGATCTGCAGTTGCATTAGAGCTGTTTGATGGGATGCTATGTGAAATAAATAACTTTTTAGCTGATTTCATGGTGTACAAGTACCTGGTGTCAGCCTGAGCAGCTCAGCCTGTGGAAGTAAAACTTCAGCAAGTGTTTGGTTTATTCCCTCACTGACCATTGAAATTCTTCCTACAGGTGGAAAAGAACAGCAAGGCCAGGTAAGCCCCAGTCCCAGCCAACAGCTGCACACAGGGAAATGGAAAGGATGATCCTGGTGCTCAATTATTGGTGCTTTTTGTCTTTTCTGGATGTTGTCATTGATGTCACCATCGCATTGTAACTTAGGTTAAAAAATTTGTTTGGAAATGGTTTCATGGATCTCTTGAGTGTATCAACAGTGACAGAAAGATGTCAAATGTTATGGTATGAGTGATAATGTGAATTTTGGAAAGCCTGTTGCCTATTGCTGTGATTAGAGTGTTATTGGAGAGTGAAAATCTCGTTTCTTAGGAGCTTCAGTGAACATGGGTTAAGCTGTGGCAGCTCCAGATTTTGTCAGAGGCCTTTCCAGACAAAACCACCTTTGAGTGTGGCAGCACAGCTGGTTTTAAGTTAGAGATATGTGGGTTTGTCCAAGTTGTTCTCTGAGAACCATGAAAGGGGGGAAAGGTCTCTCCAAAATGTGAGGCTGTTCTCCTGAAGCACTTGGGTGTGCCAGCAGCACTTGATGATTTCTGTGCTGCCTCCACTCACTTCAAGTACCCATTTCACGTGAAGATGCCATGGCTGGGGTTGAGGTTTAACAGAGATGTTAACAGAGATGTTCACGTGAAGAGCAGCAAGCAGAATTTGGCCCTGAGTGTGGGAGTTCATTGCTCAGCACATTGCTTTACCACGGGCACAACTCCTGGCAGAGCTCCAGCCACCCCGGGGTGAACTTGTTCCAGGATTGCCCTTCTTCCAAGGGCACTTGCTTTTACAGCATGGATTTATGGACACTGGGAAATCAGGCTCTGTGTGCTGCGTGTTTCTATTTTCTGAGTTTTTCCAAGGCTTGGTTTTCAATCTGTAGCTGAGGTTCTCAGTGAATTTATGTATGTATGTATTTATGTGTACACAATTATGGATTTGTGTGTACACAGTTATGTATTTGTGTTGTACACAGTACAACATGGTTTTTCTCCATGGAACAAATGCAAAATGACCCAGGATGTAGCTCACAACACAGCTCTTTGTACAAAAATTCCTATTTTTTAATTCTGGTGTGAGTGGAAATACTTTTTTTTCCCCCAGTTCTTGAAATATTTCTGGTTTGATTGGGCAGTGGAAGAATTGGAATGTGCTTGGAACAAACCCTTGAGTGGGAATGGAGGGGAGGCCCAATTCTGCTCCCTTGAAGCCAATGTTGAGACACCACATTATGATCAGTTTTAGTCAACAGACTTGAATGAAGAGCAAAATCTGATCTCAGAAAATTACAACATCGATTAAGTGGATTCAAGTATTTTAAGACAAGTACTCCATGGGACTGTTTCAGAATAAAATGAGTAATGGTACAGGGAAAATGGGTTTGCCATAAATTCTGTGATTCTCTGATTGACCCCACTCACAAATTAACAAAACAATCTTTAAGGCTTTTGATTTTAAAGACAAATTTGTTTAGCTCCAATGTCATCAGTGACCAACTAGCCAAGAAGATTACTAATGTAACAACTGTAAGTTATTTGGAAATACTTTATTAGTATTATCTTTTTTCTTTGAGAGCAAGAATATGGAGGTCCCCTCCATCCCAGGGCTTTCTGTGTGTCTGTGATTGGCAGGCTCTGACAACTGTGTTTCCTACAATTCCTTTAAAATGTCTTTTCCTTGATCCTTAGGGTTTCCCAGTTGTAAAATTCTGTCCTTATCACAGTTTTGTTCAGGTTGTTGGGGCAGTTTGGCACATTTCTGTAGACTGTGCTCAGAGAGCAAAGCACAGAGTTCCCCAGGAGGCTGCTGGGGTGACACCTGTAGGTTATTTTTGATCCCTGTGGAAGCATTAGGAAACACCTCCCCGTGGTGGCATTGCCTCTGCTAAATTGGTCAGTATTGTGCTGTTATCAGGATGGTGTCAGATGGATAATTTTTGTGAGAAAATGAGAGGAAAAGGCTCAAAGAGCAGAGCTGTAGGAAGGCTCTGTCCCACATTTGTGCTGGGTGGTCTCTGGAGGGTGGGTGGTGCATCAATCCTGATATTTTTGAAGGTTAAGGATGTTGATCTGGAGTGTGGGGTTATTTTTAGCAATTATTTAGAGGTGTGGACATGCAAGACTCAGCTGTTGGGTGCCTTAAAAAGAACAGATACTAACAGAGGGCAGAGCAAATATAAAATATTCACAACCGAGTCCTGTGTCCTATCCTGAATCTTTAATGTCCATTTACTTTTCCTAATTTCTTTATTTTTCCGCTAGAATTTTCTAAATCTCTCAAGAATATCCTGTATATTCTGTGAATCCTGAAGAGATATTTCAGGTTAGCCGAGGAGTGACTCTCTCTGTACTTGGGGATTCCAACCAATGCCACTGCCTGTGGAGGAATATCCTGCCCATGGCACGTGGCACAGCAATTTGGCTTGTCCTTGGAGCATGGTGCCAGGGAGGGAGGTTCTCTGCACTGATCAGGTTCTGCAGTAGGGCGTGAATGATTCCAAGCAGGAATTCCTGAATTGTGATAAATCACTTTTGGAATGGCAAAGACTTCATTTGTGCTGCTGCCTCTGGTGGCACTGCCATCCCTGCTGGTGGTGGTGGCACCCAGCACCATTCCTGAGGAGGGACTCCTGTGACAGTAACTCTAAAAACCAAAAAACCAAAAAAAAAAGCTGAAGAAAAATTTGGGACTTTTTATCCTACAGGGACCTTATCTGAAGTTAATGACATTCCCCAAATGTTACAGCGGCATTAATATACTGCTTATGGGGGTTGTATGCATTTTTTTCTTGCTTTTTTTGCTTTTCCACAGACAGTAGGTGGATTACACCCTAAAGAATTACAGGAATGTATTTTTTGGTCATTTTTTCAGGCTGTACTTGTTTAAGACTAAGTCAGTCCCAACAGTAACTGTCCTAAACTGAGTTTTATAGGAAGATACATAAACCTTTGGGTTTGTACTTGGTCTCTAAATTATTTTATGTGTTTAAATATAAATGTCCATTATCTGAATAACCCTTGAACCAGAGTCCATCTTTGAACTTTGGAGGCTTTTGCTTTGCAAATGAAAGTTAATTAATGTTGGGTTAATTAATGTTTGGGTTTGTGCGGGTTTTTTTGTTCTGTGATTGTTGAGTTTGATTTTATCACTGGTACAACCAGAGAGAGGGAAACATTGCAGTGTGAAAATTCTCTTGATAGGACTTTCATTCTTGTGCTTCTTTTCTTTGGAGAGTGAGGGAACTGTGCTCCAAAGGGAGTAGGAATTGCCACTCAGAGCTGAAATGTCTCCACTCTGCTGTGTCCTGGGAGTGCCCAGCACGGTCTGACTCAAAGGGAGGTGCCAGAAATCCCCATTACTGAGATTTCAGGGTTGGATGGGACCAGCCAAGCTGCTCCACCTGAGAGATCCAGTCCTTGAGTCCTGCACCACTGGAGCCACCATCCCCATGCGCCTAGGAGCACTGAGAAAATCCATGTTGTGCTGCTTTGGTAAAAAATGAGCTTTACAAAAATTAGGCATTGGTAATGGATGCTGCTCAGTTTAGCTTGTCTGTCTTTTTTAGGGAACACATCCAGGTTTCTCTGGTGCTATTAAACTGCCATGCAAGGGCAGGACTGATCAGTTGTCCCCAGAGCACTGCTGGAATAAATCTCTACCTAAATGTATTCTTAATAATCAGAGAGACATTTCCTGTGGCATCACTTCTGTTATGTTTTCTTGCAGTGACCCAAAAACCTGGCTGCTTTGGAAAGCGGATAGTATTGGCAAGCAAAGAAATATGGCAAGTAAAAAGTCTTTTTTAGATCCAGTTGATGTCAGTGTTTTCTTCAAAAAAAAAGGGCAAGTCCTAGCCCTGAGGGGCCCTGAGGAGGAGTCAAGGCACTGATTAAGGCAGAGAGTAATTGTTCAGTCCGTGCTTAATTGTCCCCTTCAGGTTTAAACCAGTGAAGAATTGTGGTTGGATGTAATTTATGTAGATAAATACATATATATGTATTCCTGCTAGCAGTGGGGGCTGTGACACTGCAGCCAGGGAGGCTGATGGAAGGAATGGCAATGGCTAAGCTGTGACAAGTGGGAATTTTGCCAAGGCTGACAGTGAGAACGGCACCTGAAAGTCAAGTGCCTCTCTCTGGCTTCCAGACAGCCAATAACTACATGAAATCCTTGTTGCAAACCCTTGTTTTAGAGCAGGTAACAAATAGCTCCCAGACCCTGTTTTTCCTGCCTTTAGCCCCAGCTCTCACCAGCCTGCAGGTCGCTGGCATTCCCAGAATTGCTTTTTTTACCTGTCTGCATGCACAGATCCTCCTTGGGCTGAGGACACACACACCCTGAGCCCTCTGTTTGTGCCTGGAGTGGAGACCAAGTGAAAACACAGTTCTCTCTGTTGGGTTTTTCTGTAGAGTGGTGTTTTGCACCTCGAGACTTCCCTCTGCCCCGCCTGGAGTGCCCTCAGCTTGCTGGCAGCCTGGCCAGGTTGGCCGTGGTGGTGTCACAGGCCTTTGCCAACCAGATCTGTGCAAGCCTTCAGAGCACAAAGCCCTGATAAGAAGGATCCCTAACAGGTATGCATCAGGGAGAAGGAGGAGATGCTCCTAAAATTAGTTGCTGTCAGCTCCAAGCAGGAGCGAGCGCCTCGTGTGTCACGGAAACGCTGAGTATGTGCTGTATAAACTGTGTGTAAATCTGAGTATGTACCTATAATTACACTAGTGAAGTGTAAAATCCAATCTCTGCAAACTTGTGGGAGATTCAGGAATGTGGCTTGCTTTGGACTGTAATTAAAAATATGGGCATTTGGGTTAAAAATAGCTCCTTTCCGACCTACATTCCCGATGTAGGTCAGTGGAGGCATTTTTCAGACATATTAGCATTTTGGACACTTAATCTTAGCAGCATATTGCATCTCCTAGAATAGGTTAGGAGAGGCAAGGCAGGAGGAATTGCTGCATCTCGAGTCACCCAGAGAGGTTGCCAAGTTTCTCAGGCACCAGAGAGGCAGAATAATGAGGATTATATTTAATTCGGGCTGGAGAGACAACCGTGGGGTGTTGAGCAGAGGCAGCTCAGATCATCTTGGCTCTGTGGGGGAGGGAGAATTTATAACTCTAGCTGGCTCCAAAGCAAGCTCTGTGTGCATTTGCTATGTGTATATATATTTTTATATATGTATATACAAATCTGGATGTGTATATAACACCCTGTGTATATATGTATGTATGTATGTATATGTCTCCAGTGTACAAAATGTGTATCTATAGAAATGTATACATTTATATGAATTTCTATTTCTCTATATAAATAGTCATGCAACTAGGGGAAATCACATTTCCACGGCGTGTCCTTTTCTGTAACACCCCCCCAAAAAAGAAGCTGCTTCCATTAATGTCACATTGGCACAAATGACTTAAATTTTCTTTTCTGTTTTGAAAGGAGTGGTGCTTAGTGGCTGAGCACAAGCCTGGAAGGTTTTTACTCTTCCAGAGGACTTCCAGTAAATCATGAGCTGCTCCAGAGCTGTTCCGCATTTGTGAAATAAAGTGGTGGCCAAAATGACTCAGGGCTGGTTTTACAGGCAAAGGAAAAGGGTTGTTGAGTGTGCATTGGAAACCTCTGCTATGCTCTCAGAGTTCTGATGGTGAAATATCTGCGCTGCTAATTACTTTGGTTGCTGTTAATTTCCCAGCAATTGGCTTGAACAGGGGGAAAAAAAATTTTCCTGCTCTGAAGTAAGTTATCTGAAGTCTGATTATGTTGCCTCAGTGATGTATGGATTTCCATTTAGGGTCAGGATGTTGGGCTGTAAGTCAAGAATCTGAGCTCAGTGAACATCTAGTTTGGGATGTGTCTTTTCTGTTCTAATTGATTTTAAATAATTTCAATTCATCATCAGAGCAAGCTATACCTTAATTCATGATAAGCTCAAACAATTTCTCATTCATATCAGGGTGAATTTTGCACTTGGCTTCGGTGGGGTCGAACGAGGTCGGAGCGTTTCATTCAGCACTGGCATAAAAACAATCTTGTACTTGTGCAACTATTAATTCAAATTGTAATTTTGTAATAAAAGCAGCCTAAAAATGATTTGCTAGTTATGTATTCTATGGTTATGGCACCTTTCTGTGGATAAGATGTGCTGGTGTTGGCTTTGATTTTGTGTTGCTGATCTTTACTCTGGGTTTGGCCCCAGAGCTAGAAGCAGCCCAGCCCTGGAATACCAGGCCATAACACACTGCATTTAAAAGGAAAAGCTGCAGAGCACTGATCCCTCAGCATTCCTTGAGCTGTGTGCCCAGAGTGCTGCCCGATTGCTGAATTGCCACATGCATTGTGCAAATATTCTAGGAAATGTGGGTCATGGGAGTGTGGATTTGTCACGGGCATTTTGGCTCCCTGTGGCAGAGCCCTTGTCCTGTCCTGCAGAAAAACCTCCTTGTGCCTCCACCCTGACCTTTCCCAGGCTGTCCTGGTCCCTGGGGCAGGGTGGAAATGTCCTGCTGCCCTTCTGCCATCGTCTGGGAGCTGGGATGTGGTTAAGAAATAAAAAAGGGAGAATGGATTATTCCTTCCTAAGCCCTGCACTTCCTTCAGGAGAAGACAGAGAGACAAACATGAAATCATCGTGGAAACCAAAACAAACACCCAGAACACATGACATTGAGTGAAATGTTTCTCCTGAGCTTCTGGATTGTGCCTTGCCTTATTATTTCGTCTGGGGGAAATCAGCACTTTATGGGAAAGTGCTTCCCAATCTCTTTTGCAAATGTTGCAGTGAAACTTCTGTGATGTATAGCTGCCTGTTCAAGAAAATGGGTCATTTCCATACAAATGTCATATTTCTATGCAGAAAATATGCTGAATTCATACCCTATCTCCTAGTTAAAGCAATCCCTTTGCTGGTTTTGTGATTTCAGCATATTTGCCTGACTGGAGACAACCAGAAGATGAGAAGAAAAAATTATTATTTTTTAATTAACTCATGCAGGCCTAATGTCAGACTAAGCACTTGAGTGCAGCATCTCTGGGGCACACACAGGAATATCATCCTCAGATGGCTAATTTTTTTTTTTTGAGCAGGGTGAACCACAAAGCTCAGAGAGCTGCTGCTTTGCTCAGAGTCTGGAGACTTGGGGAAAGAAGTTTTTCTGATGTCAGTGTTGAAGAAGATGCCTGGATGTCCTCAGGGGAGCAGCCGTCCACACAGGAACCCACAGGCTGAAGGCAGCAGGGGAGTGATGAGCTTTGCAAATCTCCTCCTCGCAGGATGAATTTCATCTAAAATGAACCCGAGCTCCTGGCACTGCTGCTCAAAAGGAACAACAAACCCACCCTGCCTCTGGAAAGCTGAATTTTCCGTGCTACTTCATACTTGGGAAAGGAACAGTGGATTTTAGGATGGGAGTTACAAAGTGATTGGATGCTAGAGATGGACAACCAAAGAAAAGCTGTGACCCAAAGTCTGCAGTGCCTGGTGTAAATAAATCCTAAATAAATCCTCAGATTCCCACTGAGTTCCCACTGTCCCTCCCAGCACAGCAGTGCTGCTGGCCTTGCTGCTTAGGTGACACCAGAGTTTTGGTACCTGCTGCTGGAGCTTTCCAAACAGCCATTAGAATTGCTTGAAATAATTCAGATGAATCTGCCCAACTTCTCAGCTCGTGTGAGCTTCAGCCAGCAAAGTTCTTGGGCTGCTTCACTCTGCTGGAGGCATTTTCCTGCCTTTCACCCGTGGGAATGGAAAGAAAGCACTGCTGTGGGATGGCCTTTGGTGGCAGAAGTGTCCCCAGGCCCCTGGCCAGGCTGTTAATTCACAAGGGGTTTTCAGGCTCCTGTTCAACCTTCTACACCCACCTAAAGGCTGCTCCTGTCCTTGTGTGCTGGATAAAAAAAAATCTCAAAGGAAATCTCCCTTTGCCAATTCCTTCTTGAACTAAATTAAGATATTTCACAGTGTCAATAAGGACAAAGCTCTATATAACACATTGTATTAATAAATCAGCATGTATTGACCACCAAGGTCTTGTCTGGAGCATAAGACACAGCTGCCAATTTTTCCTCTGACAAAATATTTTCCTCCTCCTCCCTCTGGAAATCTTTTTGGTGCAGACTCATCCAACTTTGAGGAGATACAATTTGTTCTCAAAGCAGCAAATGGGAAAGGGATCCTTAGAGATTTGTGTCTCCAGGAAAGCAAAACATTCCCGGGAAAAGGCCTCTCCCACCCACTTATCCTACCTGCAGCTTTGGGGGATTGTGTTGTGCCTAAACACCAAGATATTTAAAATTAATTAGAGCTTAATTGGAATTAAACTTCTGTTCCCAATTTCCTGTCTCCATGGGGAAGACAGTGAAAATTTCTTTTCTGATAAAAATATTCTGACTATAATGTGTGTTATCTGATATCCAGATCCTCTATTGAATGGAACTTTGCAGATATACAAAAAAGGGGAAAGTTCATTACTGGTACTTCTTTCTATAGGAATGGTTTTAAGAATTAAGTAAAAATTAAACAAACAAGAAACAACATTATTAACATCAAAATAATTATTAGCATACCTAAATAGTGCACTATGGTAATAAATCACTGACAAATCTGGATAGAGATGTGTCAGGATTAAGTTCTGAACACTTAAGGCTGTGATTAAGTTCCTGAAGGTTTTTCATCTTCAAAAATTCTCCATTGAAAAATGTCTGCTTTTAATTGGGAAACAAAATCCTCAGGCTGACTTTTTTTATGAATATTTGGTATCTGAAAAAAATGTGACTCCTTGAATGTAACTTCAAAGAAAAACCTTTTCAATGTTGTTTTCATCTTAAGAAAAACCCCACATTTTTCATCTGAAGGAAACTCACTTTTTGAAGCATAGAGAAGTTTTCTGAAAATAATACTAATTTAGAAGAAATTATGTTTTTAACAAAACTTTCTACTCATAGAAAAAGCAATTATTTTTTTTTTTCCTCTTTTATTACCAAACTTCTGTGCTTTGGTTTTTGTCAGTTTTGTCTGCAGGGAAAAAATGGTACTGTGGAAAAAAACCCTCTCAAGCATACAAAGGCTTTGTTTTGGACTGAAAAATGTTTTCTAAAAGATATTGCACATCTTAAACTTCAGTAATTGATGGTTTTAAGGGATAAATAAATGTTGTGTCCTTGTAAGAGTCCAGGGCCAAGTTGGATGGGGTTTAGAGCACCCTGGGACACCAGAAGGTGTCCCTGCCATGGCAGGGGTGGCACTGGATGGGCTTTATGGTCCCTTCCAACCCAAATCTGAGATTCCCTGCTATTAAGGATAATGTAATGAAGTATTGAAAGGAAGAATAATTAAATATTGGTGGCAAAAAGCTTAAAATTAAAAAAAAAAAAAAAAAAGACCAAAAAACCCCTGGGTTTCCACTGCCAGAAATGTGGGTGTAATCAACAGGGGTTTGGGAATGCCTGATCCTTTGGAATTAATATCCAATAATTTTCTCACTTCTGATATTACATTAATCCAAATGCAAACTATGTCTGAGTTCATGGTCTTTGGTGCTGCCACCTTGTCATTACTAAAAGTAATATTTGTAGCAGATGAATAACTGAGAATAGGAGAACCCAGAGAAAAATTGCAATTACTTTTTCTTTTCGGGGACAGGCAACACCTCACCCAAAAGCTGTTCTATATATATTCAAATTAATGAAATAACTGTAAAATTGAATTATTAATTATGGAGAGAATGGGGAAAGAGGCCAAATGTGTGTCTTTAGTTGGCCCTGTAGCATTCAGCTGTGTATGGGCAGGCCCTTGACTGGCTAACACCAGAAATAAGACTTTTTTTTCTGAAATTTGACCCTTTTACACATCCTATTTTATTTCCACAGAAAAATGTCACTGCAATACGAGGAGGACTGTCTCAATGGCCTAATTTATATTTATTTTCTCTTTTGTGCTACAACTCTTGCCCTGAATAACCCAGTGGTCCTTGAAGGAGGGCAAACAACCAAGTTTTCACTGTTTATTTGTGCGTGAGACAAAAAATTGTGCAGAGAGGCTGAAGCTCTGTGTGTGTGCCTGGGACAGGGCTGGCAGCACGATGTTCATGGATAAAGGAATTCTCTCTGGCAATGTCAGAACACTCAAATTAGCCCCCGGGAAGACAAAGGCTGTGCTGTACACACCTGCAGCTGTGGGTAAACGAGAGAACAATGGCCATTGTTCAGTTGTTAATGCGCTGCATTTCTGTCTTACCTCCATTATTGGCTGGCTTTCAGTCCCTGTAATTAATGTGCCTGGAGTGGGTGGATCTCTTTACATTCGCCTGTTTCTTTTCACAGCTTAATCAGAGCAGGAGAAAAAACTTAAAATTAAGATTCTCTGTGTTTTCCAAGTTTCCCAGCACTGTGGTGAGCTGGTAGGAGAAAGCCCAAACAGGGAGATGAACTTCTGGAGATGAATTGGTATTTGATCCTGAAACTTTCCAGTTGCTTGTGTTTTGGGCTGGTTTCCAATTCTTCTTCCAATTCTTTGCAGCACCCTGTAAGGAAGAAAAGGAAATTCCAATATTCAGGAAATCCCAAACTGTGGAGCCATAGCTTGTCCATTTCCTAGGAAATTCTGCCAACAAACTGTGGAGCCATAGCTTATCCATTTCCTTGGAAATTCTGCCAGGGCCTCTGAATAAAGAATTTCTTCCTAATATCAGAGACTGCAAGATCAGCCCTTGAGTTTCTATAGGGTCAGGTGAGTGTAATTTAAAGCAGAATTTACCTACAATGGTTTCCTGACATTAAAAAGCAACATTTTAGTTCTGCTTTAAGAGTGAAAATTGATCACAGTCAGCAATACAAGAAGGGAAATAACAAAAGTTGTTTCTACAGTGGTTTATCCAGTTCAGAAACCTACAGTGGCTGGTAGCCCACAGAATTCCATCCACAAGAGCACCCTAACAGAGAAAATCAGGCTGTTTTAAGTGCTCATGTTTGGCTTTAGACAAACAGGGAGGATGCCCAGACCAGTCTCAGAATCTGGTGAAAAATTTTTGTGGATGGAGACATTGATTTCATATTTAGCAGTGCATGAGAAACATCCACATTCCACGGGATCAATC